AGGGTGAAGCTAAGCAGGAGGATGGCGGAGAGGTTGTTGGCCCCGATGGCCTCCAGGCTGACTGTGAATGGCGCTCTGCCGGTGGGTTCCCACGTGAGGGTGCCGTTCTCTGTGTGGGGAGAGACACGGGAAGGAGAGGAGGTAGCAGGAGAGAGGGGCAAGGTGCAGGGAAAGGGGCAGAGTAGGGCTCAGCAAAGCCCCTGAGCCTCCCCTACCTGTTATGTTGAGCTCGGGGGAGACATGGGGGATGAACCGCGTGCCTGCCCTGTCCGCTTGGTACTGCCTTGTCACCCTTTCCATCCTGTAGGCTGTGAGTGAAGCATCACCGGTGATGATGGGAGGGAAAGCATCTGAGGAAAGAGCAGCCCGGCATGCAGCTGGGTGTTTGTCGTGTGACAACAGCGCCCCTCCCCCCAGCTCTGTGCCCCTCCTGGCGAGGACAGGACCCCAAGGAGATGTGGCCTTGGCCACCCACCAGTGAAGCCCTCATGTTGCACTGCACTGGGGTGTCTCCTGGTCCCTGGGGATCAGCCAGTTGGGTAGTGCAACTTAAAGACTTTGGCTGGCATCTCTCCTGCCTCCACATGGAGCAGGAGGCTCCAGGCAGGGAGCAAGGCATTTCCCAAGGAGCCAAGCCCATGCCCTCTCGGAGGTGAGCATCTGCTCCACTTACTTAGTGTTGTCTTCTTCTGCTGGAAATTGGCTGCCAGGCTCTGGGTGGCCAGGCCCAGGGCCATGTCCCCCGTACTCAGTGCATCATAGATGCACTCCCTGCTCCCGCGGCACCATGCGGCTGCCAGCTGGTACTGGCTTTCATTTTCCTGCCGCAGCCGAGACAAGAAGACAGGCATGAAGTTCATTACTGGAGCTGCAGGGGACTCGGCAAACAGGCTATACTCTCCAACAGCCCCTGCAAGAGAGCACACCACGGGAAGGGCTGAGGGTTTTTGAGGCTGCATATTTGTAGTGCTGGTTTCCGTGGAGCAGTAATGAGACCAAAGGGAATCCTTGGCACCATTTTTGCTCGAGCAAGTGTTCAGATTTCTCCAGGTAAAACGAGGCCTGAAGATGCTGAAGCAGGGGATCGCTGCGATGGATCCTGAGCTCAGACTTACAGGTCATCCCATAGCTGAAGATTTCCTCCTCGCTGCTGTTAGTGGGGATGCTGGTGCCATTCGGCATCTGGAAGTCATCTGCAGGGTTGTGGTTCCATACACCTGGCAGAGCATCGCAGGAGGATTGGAGCCCCCCAGGCCTCCGGTGCAAGTCAGGCTTTAGTTTAGCCATCCGGAGAGGCCCAGGTGGGTCCTGCCCCCCTGCCCTCACAAGCACGCTCCTCTAGCGTTTGCTAGCCTGCTCTGAGGTGTGAAGGGGATGTTGCACCCCAGCTCGGGGTCTGGGGATCTGGAGCCGAGGGGTGGCAGCCCAGCTGGCTCCCAGCCCTAAGCAGAGCTTGGTTTGTCCTGGATTTCTGCAGCCTCCCAAGCCCAGGGCCCGGGCAATGCTACCAGGCTCCTCCAGCCCCTGCCACCGTCACTTCAACCTCCCTGATAGGGAACACAGTCACCAGCTTGAGGCAACCCTGCAGGTGGCCACGAGCCTTGGGGATGGGCTGGTCCCTTGCCTGAACGGCACCGATCTCACCCTGCAGCCTTTGCGCGAGCGCCAGCCACGCCTCTCACCCAGCAGGCCCTTGGTCCTGTTGAGGTACCCATCGGGCAGGCTGCAGACCACGCTGAGGATCCCAGAGGTGGCTGAGATGGAGACGGTGATGGCCCCGTCAAAGATGGCTGTGATGGAGGAGGCGTTGACCACCAGGATGCCAGGGCTGTAATACACCTCGGCATCCATGTCTGCAAGTGAAGATGAGCACAGAGGGAAAATCCACGCAAGGTCAGGCCTGGAGTCAGGGCCTGAAATGATGCCTCTGAATTTGGCGAGGGGAGGGCTCCCCATCAGCCCTGGCCAAGTCAGCAACAGTGTATAGGCAGGAAGGATTTGATGGGGCTTAGGGTGGTTCCCCTTATGGTAAGGGCAGGGCTGATCTCTATGGGATGGTGACACCTCTCATCCCCCCATTTGGCCCCTGCTCTAGCCACTTCCTAGCCCAAGAAAGGTGGGGAAGGGTTTGTGGGCCTGGCTGCTGCTGAGAATATCCTTGCACCTGCAAGAGTGAGCAGTAATGGAGATGTCTTATTTCTTGTGCACAAACACAGTCCCCTTGCAGGCAGAAAGCTCTGCCCGGTGCAGAGACTGGCCCAGCCCCAGCTCCCACGCAGACCCTGCTGCGGGATGTCCTCAGTTCCCTGCACAGTGTCACCGTTTCTGACGGAAATGGCCCCGGGCTGCCCTGAAAGATCCCCTTGCAGGACGTGGGTGGAACAGTTGGTAGCTAAAGGATGACATCATGCCCTGCTCACCTCTGGAGTAGGAAAACTGGATAGTCTTGTAATTCATTTTTTAGCAGGACAGAGATGTCACCTTGGCTCCCCAGGGTCCACTCAACCTGCAAAACACAGCGGATGTCCCAGTCAGGTCATCTGTTCACCCCCCCAGCCATCCCACTCCCAGCTCCTGCTGGGGACATGCAAGCTAGACCCAGTCCTAGAGGGGATCAGTCCCAGGGGCTGTATTGGTGTGCTCCCTGTGCTGGCTGTGGCAGTGTGGCAAGCTGCCACAGTGGGATCCAGCGTCTCTGAGGCCCGTCCTCCCATTACTCAAGGGCTGCTTCTTAAGACACCGGGGGATTTGACTTACTCCAATATACTCTAGATGTGGGGAGCAATTCTGCAAAGAAACGAAGAGCATGCGACTGTGCTAATAACCTGGAGGAGATGGGTGTTCAGGGTGTAGGGTATGCAATGAACAGATGGAGCACATAGTGTTTCTGTAGAGCTTCCGGCCAAGGCTGGGCAGCATGCAAGAGTTGTTAGATGGCTCTCATTAGTCTTTGTTCAAAACCTGCACTTAGCACATTGTTGGGGCCCTTCATGGGAGGCAGCACATGGAGGAAAGGGGAGTGCTTCACAGGTCCCAGCTGTTTCTAGGTGGTGCAGATGTGCTGCCCAGCCTGTCTGCGAGGCTTCTCCCATTAGGCGCTCAAGCCTATACCTGGGTAGCTGGTACTCACCGTTGTGGTGATAGTGGAAATGTATCGGGCAGCAAAAGCCACAAAATTGGTGGCCAGGGCTGTGCCAGTCCTGGCCGTGCGCCCTTGCAGGACAAAACTGGTCTGAGCATCGCTGGCCAGCAGGAGGACAAAGTCGCCGAGCCCGTTGAAGGTGTAGGTGAGCCCATCCAGGGTGGTGATGTGGGGGTCCCCAAAGGCGCTGGCTGGGGTCCCCAGAGGATGAAGCCGTTTTGCAGGGAGGAAGAAAGGTAATTGCTGGCATCATTGCACAGAGGAGAGAGGACCACGGTTGCGAGCTGGGCGTGCAAAGCCGGGGTCATGATGGGGACCACACACAGCTGTGCCAATTGCGCAGTACCAGTTCCTGGGCTGGCAAGGTTAGGGCTGGTTCCTGCTCTGGCACAGCAAGGAGGCTGTGCAGGCAGCCCTGGGGACTCACCAAGGGTGGGTGGCATGTATCCCTCACAGCTGGCCCTTGGTCTCTTCTCGGTAAACCTGGCGCAGAACATGGGTTTCCCCACTCGCCGGCAACACCAGTCAAAGGCCTCCAGCTCCCCATCTGCAGAGGAACGTGACTGGGCACTGCTGAGGCTGCTGGGGCTCTCAGACATGGGGCTCACCACAGCCATGGGCTACTTGTCTGCCGGGAGAACGCTGGGGGCTGTAGCTGCTCTCATGGCTTGTCTGCAGGTGTTTTAAGGAAAGAGAGCCACGGTGCTTGCTTACCAGTGGTGGGATGGAGGGGAAGGCTCCAGTCTCTCTCCTGCCAGCCTTCGAGCAAACTCTCATTCCGGTAGAGACACCGGACCCCAGCTCCAGCCTGGCTTGGGGATGAGGTGCGCAGCATGGTCACGGAGGCATCTGCCAGGCCTGAAAGGGTTTGAGGTGTCACCAGCTGCCCCTGCCCTGGGAGCTGACCCGGGGCCCTGAGAGCGAGAGGAGAACCCCAGCCTTATCCCACCCCACAGCCTTTATCTACTGGCCTCAACCCTCCCCAGACGTGCTGGGAGGGCAATGAAATGATGGAGGAAGGAGCCCAATTCAGGAAGGGGCCCACAGGGGTTGGAGCACTAGAGAGGCTTGACTAGAGGGATGCAACCCATGCAACAGTGGGTTGAATCTCCCTCCTCTGGGTTTCTTGGTTGCCTCTTCCCTGACCCCCTTTCCCTGAGCAGGGGCACCAGCACCTCTGCTCCACCGGTAGCGGGGGTCCAGCTCTGCCTGGGGCTGCGAGCAGGGGCAGGGTGGCAGCTCTCTGTTCCAGCTGGCCGGCTCCGGCTGTGCTGCCAGCCACACGAGGCAGCGCAGCCTGTAGTTCACCCGGGGATGACTGTCCAGCTTGTAGATCCAGAGCCCACGCAGATCTGGGGGAGCAACCAGCAAACAACACAGCCAATGGCCAACAACACAGCCAATGTCCTACCGCAACTGCCAAAACGCTGAGGCCTCAGCTGGCATCTCGCCTCCTCCAGAGAGGAGAGATTGGGCGCCTGGCCTGGATGACCGTCCCCTGCCATTAACCTCTCACATGAGGTCTCCAGGCTTCCTTTAGAGCCAACACTGCTGGTGCTGGGGTGGCCATGGAAACCGTGGCTGAAGGGAAATGGGGACTCGTGCTCTGCTCTTGTATCTGTGCTCATCTCTGCTTTTAGACCCCACTAACTCTCAGCTGCCAGTCCTCACATAGGCTTCACTCTCCATCGCCCCACAAGGACATGTGCCGGGGACGCACTCCTAGGCAGATGCGTGCGGGCACATGTCTCCTCTCTAGTCCCCCAGTGCTGGACCAAGAGCCTCCCCCCATGCCATACCAGTGTCGTAGCCTCTGTACTGATCGGGCCGGTATTTAACAGCCGGTGGCTTTTGAGTCAGCTCATTATTTTGGGCATATCCGTCGCCACTGTGTGAAGAGAGAAAGTCCCAGATCATGCTTCTGACACAACCCTACACCTCTCTCCCCCTCCTTTCTCCATCCCATGGGTTGCCTTGAGCATCTCCCCATCGAGCGCAAAGGAGAAACGACCTGGTGGTGCTATGGCTCGACGTAGGTCCTTCCCCCTCCCCCACAGAGGAGCAACAGACCATAGGGCCACGGGTGAAGGCAAGAGGTCTAGATACAGTGCAACTCTGAGCTAGGAGTGACAGACACCTCTACTCACACCCAGCAGTAAACACACACACACATGCGCACACGTGCACACACACGCATGCATGCCCACATGTGCAGACACATATGCACACACACATGTACCTGGAGAAGCCGATGAGCACGTTCCTCGCTGCGAGCTTGGTGTAGTCCCACTGCATGCCACCGTCTTGGTACAGGAACAGGGCGAAGGCTTGGTTCCCATCAGTGGTGAGGACCGCCTGGTACGTGTTTGTCTAGAGAAACCCGCAGCACCCTGTCAGCCTGCCTCTCCTGCTTCCTGCGAAGTGCAGAGCAAGGCCGTAGCAGGCTAGCCAAGGAGAGACAGGGAGGGAGAAGTCATCAAGGCTTCCTGCGGTGGGACAGCAGTGGGAGAAGGCCCTTTGAGAGCAGATCAGAAAAATCATGAACGAAACAAGCAGGGAATCTCCAATATACAGATGTACGCTGTTGCATTTGTGTCCTGTCGTGGAGGACACATGTCGTGTTCACATGTCGTAAAACCAAAGCTGCATCACGACTTGAACTCCTCCCCTGCCAGGAAGCTGAGAAAGGCCGCAGAAGCACCCTGCCTGGGTGCAGCAGGGCCCCCCATCACCAGGGGAGTCCCGCAGACATGGCGCCTTCAGGTCTGACCCCCTCTGCTCACCCGAGCATCGTCCCGCTGGGATGGGTACGCTGGAGCCTCCTCCCATGTCACCTTCAGGGTCCATTTTGCTGTGTAGGAGGTTTTCATGTATCTCTCAATCTTCGCTTCCACGTCACGGATAAGGGGGTTTTGGGGAGAGCTGAGGGTGAGGTATTCCTGTGAGTTTTCAAGAGACGGAGTTTAAAAAGGATGGGATTGCTTTGGAGGTCAGAGCAGGACTCTCCCGGGGAGGTCACTGATGGCCCCTACCTGGTACCATGTGGTGCCAACACCCCGGGAAAAATCGGCGTCGTCCCAAAATGCAGCCAACGTTGGCAAACTCTCATGGCCACTGAAGCCCTGAGGAGGCGGGTTAGGGTTGGAGGGGACATAGTTGTCCGTAGGTGGGAAAATGATTTGTCCATTATCTGTAAACTGAACAAAATAAGTAGTTATTTACTGACACCAGACTCCTCAGGCGGTGCCTACCCAGCAGTATGGCTTTTATTTATACCCTGCACACACATAGGCAGAAACCAGCCATTTTAAATTGTGAAAAACTAACATCCATATTAAAATTAGGTTTCTGTTCCATTTTTGCTGTTTTTTTCCCCCACACAAGCTGTATATCACTTGTGTGCTCTGCAGCCATGGAAACTCACGTAGAGAGAGTCATGTAGTGTTTTCCCAAAAGGGAATCCGATCTCTGGTTTGAACAGCGGGGAATTAAAATCCACCTTCCTTTCAACGTATTCTCTGTCATTTCCCTCCGCACCGTATGGGTATAGTGACACAGCTGGAACTAACAGAAGCAGGTGATTAATAGAAAATTAAAAATAATTAAATCTGCTCCACCCATTGCACCTGCAAGGCAAGCTTGCCCTTTTACACCCCCTGCCTGCAGGGAGGGTGGGATAGTCCCACCATGTCTATCATCGCTATAATGCAGGGAGATTGTCTTTGCCTCCAGATGCTTGTCCTGCAAAGAAACCTGCCTTCCCAGTTTAGGATTTGGGCACAACTATGAGCAGGCACTTAAATGATTTTCCTCACCTGAGCTGTGAAAGGTAAGACAAAAATGTGCACACAGGAGAGATGGGGCAACAAAACCGTCCACAGGGTTGAGACTGGGCTGGCTGTGGGCACATGTACTGTGCTGACCAGGGAAGGAGAATCCTGTCAGTCCCCCAGCCTGACCTGTAACGCAGATGAGCCACCCCCGGGCCATGCCATGCCCTCTGCAATCACAGCAGCTCAGCCGGGCCATGAACCCCCTTCATGTTCTCTGCCTCAGGAGGAAGGAAGAAAATCTACTTACTGCTAAGCCCTAGGGTGGGTCGGAGCTCAGGCAAGGGTGTAAGCATGTGATTTCTGTGGCTAGAGATGGTGTGAGCAGAAGCCCTTGGTGCCGTGGCTGGTCCTTTCCACGTCCCAAAGGCAGGAGCTGCAGTGATAGTGGGGCTGGTGGCTGCAGGTGGTTTCCCCAGTGCCGTGGTGGTGCCACCCAGGAGGTTTCCCACCTCCTCGGCTGAGCTGACACGTGTCGTAGTCACCTGGGCTGGTCTCACTGGGCTCGTGGGTGGGATGGACGGCATGCTGCGTGGTGACATGGCTGTGGTGGTGTGAGCTGCTGGGGTGATACTTTCTGCAAGCCCCGTTTTGACCACTCCATTTCCAGATGCTGCTGACACGAGCGGAGCTGGTGAGGGGCTGATTTTGTCCATGGTGCTTGGCTCTGGGCTGGTGGCAGAGGCAGGAGGGATGGACGTGGTGGCAAATGCGGGCTGTGATCCAGTTGGGCTGCCCACCGCAGGGACCGGCACAGCTACATGGGTGCCAAAGACAGAGAAAGGCTCAAAATCTTCATGTAAGGTGGTGATGCCCTTTGCAAGCGTGGGAAGCGTCCCAGGTTGGGGTTCTTCTCTGGCTGCCCCCGCTGCGTTGCTATTTAGGGTCGTGGGGGAGGTCACCGTGGCCAGCTCTTTGGCTGTGTTGTCCCTGGGGACGTGAAGGGTGCTTGCTGAGGTGCTATCTGCAGTGCTGTGCCTGGGGGAAGCTGCTGTTAGCGTCAGCCCAGCTGGGGCACTGAGAGAGCTGGGGAGCACTGTGCCGTTTCTCAGATGTGCACCGGTGGGGCTGGTCACAGCAGCAAATGCAGGAGAGGAAACATGGTTTGTCGTCCCCCCTGAGATGTCAGGAACGATGGTGCCTGAGCTGCTGCTGGCAGGTTCAGCCGTTTTCTCCCACAAGGTAGGTCGCCCCAGGAACGTCTGGGTGACAGAAGGTGACGTGCTCGATGCCTGTCCTGCCGCAGGATTGTTGATGGCCGTGGGAGAGGAGGCACCTGCTTCTGGTGCAGATGTGGCACGTCCGAATGCCAGGGAGGCTACCGGCTCCCCTGTTGCACCATTGCTGAGTACGGACGATGGTCCAGTTGTTGGCTCCTCCGTTGTGTTGTACTTGCCGAGGAAAGGTGTACCAGGCACCACGATGGTGTGGCTGGGCCTGGACACCTCCAAGGACCCAGTGGTTGGCCTCATCGCAGTGCTCTGCATTGAGGGAGATAAGATAGTGGCTCCTGGTTGGCTGCTAGCAGTGCTGGGACCAAGGTGTGGGCTTACTGCTGTCCCTCTGACAGTGGCCAGCGGTGCTCTGGCTGCCAGCACAGCGCTGGTAGTTTGGGAGATGGTTGCAGCCATGTCTCTTGCTTCCGTTGCTGCAGTTGCCGGCTCGGCTGTGGTCTGGCCCAGGACTGGCTCCCCTGGGGCTGGGGTGCTGCTGGTGACCGAGGAAGTCAGGCTGGCTGCTGCCTTGTTCCCTCCGAGGACCGTCCTGGAGGCTGTTTGAGCTGGGATGCTGTCTGTGATTAACACTGTTTTGCTAGTTGCTGCTTCGCTCGGCAAAGGGGTGAAAACAGGCAAAACCAGAGCTGTCTGTGATGCAGCTGCAGCGTCTTTGCCAACTGTTGCAAGCACGGTGGTGGTGGGCTTGGCTGTGTGCAGCCAAGCAGCGTGTGTGAATAGAGCAGGCGACAGGCCTGCGTTGCTACCAGCTGCTGTATCGTCAGACATCATCATAGTTGTCTGCTTCTCAGCAGCACCACGCACAGCTGGGGAAGCAGCGAGCCCGTCAACGGCCGCTGGAGTCGGGCTCATGCCTTCATCCTCCGTGTCAACATGGCCAGAGTCAGATAGCGCATGTCCGTCTGCCTGGTTGTTCGTGGCGGGTTGCTCTGAGGCAGGGGACAGGGCACGGCTGGTGCCAGTGGTCTTTGCCATGGCAAACCCTGCTCTGGCAGTTGATGTCTCAGCTGTCCTGCCGGCTGCGGTGGCCACAGAGGTCTCCTCTCTGGGTGGGTCGGCTGCGGTGACGGTGTTGCTGGAGGGGATGGTGCCCAGTGGTAGCCTGGTGGTGGTGAGTCGGGTGGATAAAGTGCCGCCCCCTCCATCAGCCGCAGAGATGCCATTTGCGGGGGTTGTCAGCTGTCGCAACAGCCCAGCTGGGAAACCTCCAGTCCCTGGGGAGGACGGACTTGCTGCAGCCTCCACAGGGGCACGACTCCAGCTCACGGCAGTCGTTGTGGACGTTAGTGTGTTTGTAAGTGGGGACGAGGTGCCCAGGGCTGGCTGGGCAGTACTGCTAGCAGTGGCCACCACGGCTGTGCCTGAAGTTGCCCCAGTGCCTGTAGGTTCAGCTCTCGGTGGCACCGTGAGTGACAGTGGCTCCCCAGGGGCTGCCGTAGCCCTCACTGGTCGAGTGGTAAAATCAGAGGTGAGCAAGGAGGACATTTCCTCTGGCAGCACCGGGCTGAAGTTGTCAGGGTTCGGCAACAGGCTGCTGAGTGGGAGCAGCGTGTCAGTCGGCCAAAGTGTGGCGGTGTGTTTCGGGGCTGCAGTGGGCACACTGGTGGCTGGTATGGGGGTTGTGCTGTCAACTGACGGGGATGTTGTGCCGGTCCACATCTCCACGACGGAGGTGTTGGTGACAGGCACAGCGGTGCCCTTGCTGCTGGCGGGGGATGCTGCACCCTTGGCCCTGCTCTTGGAGGGGTCCGGGGAGGAAGCGGTGGTCTCTGCCAGCGTGGTGGTTCCTTTGACATTTGACCAGGTTGCGGCTGTGCTTTCCCCTGTTCGCGTGCTGCCTATACTCGGCAAGGATGCCTCGGCAGAGGGCTCGTCCTCGGCCCTGTTGGTGCCTGGGCTGGAAGACCTTGTGGAGGTTTTGCTGGTGCTTTCAACAGGCTCTGATGGGGGTCGAGAGGCGCTGCGGGAGCTGCGCGAGGACGAAGCAGCCGTGATGAGCTTCATGATGGCCCCGCTGCGGAGAGGCAGAGCACGAGCTGGGGCACTGGAGGAAGATGTGGCCATGCCGAGAGCACTATCGCTTACCCCTGCTGCTGTCCCGGTGATACCGTCCCTGGGGATGCCAGAGGATGCCTCCACCACTGACCTTGTGCTGCTGGAGATGGGAGAGGATGCACTGTCACCCGGCTCAGCCGTACTGGGACTGAGCATTGGGATAGATGCTCCGGTCAGCTCTGTAGCGGGCCTGGGCACCACTGGCAAGGATGGACCCGCTGCGGCCCCTGCTGTGGTGCTTTTGCTGCCCGGGGCAGACCACGCCGCTGGGGGCGCTTTGCTGGTGCCTGGCTCAGCCCCTGCCGTGATGGAGGGGGAGCGGACCGGGGGGGGCTGGCCCTGCTGCCCCGGCCCCGACGGCCGGGGAGGATGTGTCTGCTGTCGGCTCAGCAGTGCTGATGCTCTGGTTCGCCAAGGACGTGTACGGCTGAGTGGCGACGCTGGCTCTGGAGGAAGGTGATGCACGTGGAGCTGGCCCTGGAGGGGTGTTTTCGCTGTCTGTCCTGCTCGTCCAGGTGTCTGCTGTTGCATTCTCAACTGGGTTTGAACCTAGAGCTGTCTGCAGAGTGCTGCCGTCTCCTGCTGGCTGTGACCTGCCCCTGGCACCCTCTGTGGCTGCATTTTTGGTGACTGGTGGCAATGTAAGTGGGGGAGTCCAGGTGGGAGCAGTGCCGGGGAGGGGGCTGGCTGTATCCGGTGCTGGACTGGTGTCTGCCAAGGCTGGCAGAGCAGAGCGACTGCCCCCGTGAGCCAGGAGAGGAAAGCCCGCTGGGGGCCTGGTTTGAGGAGCATCATCCCCTTGGGTGGATGGCTCTGGTGGTGGCTCAGCCCTGGTGAGTGCATGGCTGTGAGGTGGCCCCGTGCCACGCGCAGGAGCTGGCAGGTCTGGAGCCAGCTCGGCCCCAAAGTGGCTCTGGAGAGATTCCTCCAAGCTTGTACCTGGGTGGGTGACATACTTTTTGGAGATGAGAAACCACCTTCCCTTGGCTGAGGTTGAATCCCAGCCTGCTTCTGGGGTGACTATACCCACATGAGCAGAGGGACCCATGACCGGCTCGGTTGCGGGATTTCTAGCACCTGGGGACAGGGAGGCGGCTGCTGTCTGTGTCGGGGAAGCAGGAGGCGGGACGTGGGTCATGCCAGCCCCCGAGTCCTCCGCCAGGCCCATATCCGGGGACTCTGAATATGGCGCAGTGGCGGTGCTGCCATCGGGGCTGGGGGAGGCATCGTGCTGGGCCCAGTGGGCATCGCTGCCATGCGCTAGCGATGATGTGGCTGCTGCTGTCCTTGGGGCAGTGCTGAATGGGGCCTCCCCCAGGGGTGGCCCTGTAGTGGGACCCTCTTCCAGGAGAGGGGGGACGCCTGCACGTGGTGCTGCAGCAGCACTACCAGCTCTGGCTGTCTCCGGGGTGCTGACAGCTCCAGCGAGGTTGGCGGTTGTTCCTGCTGTGGTTGTGCCCTCCGTGGGTTCGGAAGCTGTTGCTGGCTGAACAGTGGTGGGAGTGACGCTGCTGGGGGATGGAGGGGAAACCGCAGGATCACGCAGCTTCCTAGGACTGGAGACAGGGGCAGTGGGTCCTGCGCCTGGTTCGCCTGTGCTCAGACCTCGGGACACCCCCGCCAGGTTTGCTTCGGCTGTGTGCGACCACATCTCCCCACTGGGGGATTCGGGGGAACCGTGGGAGGTGGGTGGAGGGCTGGTGGCGTTGGGGTGTTGCATGTACACATGCGGCACTGGCTCACTGGTGACACCAGCATTCGGGGCTGAGAAATGCCGAGGATCCTGCGGTGTTGTGGTGTCCATGCCCGGAGTAGCTGTGGCTGTGGCTGGGTTAAAAGTGAAGTCCCTAGAAGGGGAGGAGAGTCCAATGGAGACCTTGCCCGAGGTTGAAGAAGGGCCCAGGTCTGGGTTGCTGTTGTCAGTGACTAAAACCAGAGCTGTCATGTCTGAGGACGGTGTGAGGAGCAGCGAAGACCCATGGACAGCTGACTCACTCACAGGTCCACTCCTGGGTGCCTTGGACGGCGCAGGGTCACTTGCGACGCTGACTGCTGGTGGCGGTGAGCCCGCAGCTGGCCCCGGATGGCCAGACGGAGCAGGAGCAGAGACGGGACTGGCATCCCAGGGCTTCGCGGTGTCAGGCCTGGGGGAACTGCCTGCCGCTGTGGGGGACTTGATCGTACCTTTCTCAGTAGGGGTGTTTCCAAAGGCTGGCCCTGCTTCGCTAATTAGGTTCATGGTAACGAAGGAGGACACGTCTGCAGCTGGGCTGGTCATCTTGCCATACCTGCTGAGGGAAGATGGTGCTGCAATGGCTCCAGGGGACACGTCTATCTGTGCTTCGCCAGCGCCGCTTCCAGTAAGAGGCAGGGACGTTGCCACACTGAGTCTTGCCGGAGAGGATTCACCTGCAGCTGCTTCCACCATAGCGGTGCTGATGGGCAATGGGGCTCCTTCGCTTGACTCTGCGGTTGACAGGACGGGGGGGCTGCTTCCTTCCAGCTCTGCTGTGGCACCGCCAGGGCCCACAAGGGAAATGGCTGCAGGTGGCTGAGCGGGGAGTGTCGGGCGCTCCTGGGAGGCGTCGTGGCCAGCAGCAGGTAAGGCAGTTGTCCCTGGCTCTGCAGTCCTGCTGACGGGAGAGAAGGTGGCCCTTGCTGAAGAAGCACTTGCGGGGTCGGCGAATGGTAGCATCATGGTCCCTGCTCCCCCTGCAAAGGCCGTTTCAGTGGGCAGAGCCCCGGTGGGGTCTCCGAGGGAGGACGCCGTGCCTGTGAAGGGCCTGGGAGAAGGACGGCCACGCGGCGCGGTGGGGAGGCTGCTCGTCAGCACAGCAGCGGTACTGGGATCATCAGGAAATGCCGTGCCAGGAGGTGGGGTGTTTCCGGCAGTGCTGGGGAACGGTGCTGTGCCCATCCGCACCAGGGTGTTCACAGTCCTTGGGGAAGCACTGCCAGTCATTGCTCTGGAGGCGAGTCTACGCGTGCTGGAGACCAGCTCAGCAGTGGTGTTTTCAGGGGCTGGAAATGACCCAGCGTGGACGTGCTTTGCAGCGGTTACTTCCACACTGGAGGAAGAGGAGTCGGTTGCTGGGTCAGCATGGCGCCCACCAGCGGCTGTGGCTGCTGTATCTGGAGTTGGTGTGGTGGCACGGAGGGAGGGGCTGACGCCAGCTCTAGGCTGCCCATCTCCAGCAGTGCCATTAGTCTCATGTGGGGACGAGCGCGCCACCCCTTGCCCAGGGCCAGCGTCATTGCTGGTGGGCAATGGGGCTCCTCTGCTTGACTCTGCGGTTGACAGGACGGGGGGGCTGCTTCCTTCCAGCTCTGCTGTGGCACCGCCAGGGCCCACAAGGGAAATGGCTGCAGGTGGCTGAGCGGGGAGTGTCGGGCGCTCCTGGGAGGCGTCGTGGCCAGCAGCAGG